CTGTAACCTGAACATGCTCATATCCTCCTCCTACAAAAAAAAAAAAAAAAAACACGACCTCAACATAACCTCCACTTCCGCTGAACTTCTTAAATCAACCGCCAACTCAGAGTAACCAAACAGGCTACAAGACAAAAACATCTGACCGACAAAAGACCCTCATCAGCCAGCCTCAGAACACCAACAACCGTTTCACAACAAAGCTCTAACGTCCACAACCATAAAAACAAACAGACAACAAGAGCACCTAACAGGACCAACTCAGCGACCACTCTAACCACAGAAAAGCGACCAAGAAAGAGTAAAACTCACCATCTTCCACTGCCGCAAAAAACACCAAGTTAAACCAACAGAAAGGGCCACTCAAACAACCTGCTGCCTTCCCCCAATGGCCCGCACTGAACCCCAGAGCCCTAAAATACCGTTTACAATCGCTACTCTTCCTACGCTCATAAAACATAACCCGCAAACACTTCCGTCACTTTTATCTGAGTTTAAACACGCAGTAAATCAGCAGCGGTTAGAAAACGCACCAGCCAACCCCTCTGCTCCCGCCCAACCCCTACTCATAACAGAAAAACATCTCACACACTGCGAAATCAGGCTCCACTAAAAAAATTTCCAATCGAAACCAGTGTACGAGAAAATGTCAACCACAATATCAACAGCTTCAATGTCAGTATTTATAAACCACCAAAGCGCAAGCAGGAATTGGCCGCAATTTATTTAAAAATTACCGCAATCAACGAGCACATGAAACAATAAAATAACAAAACAATCAGAAGAATAGGCCTCTGGGCCGCAGTCAGAACTGCCAAACTGGTATTTCATATCCCCCCTCTTTGAAATACCATCCCAGGCAGCCACTAAAGTAAAATCTTAACTTTTATGCCTCACCAGAACGACTTTAAAACTACACGAATCGAACTACAATGCGTCACATTAACTTATGAAATTATGCCAACTCTAGTAAAGCACATCTATTTAATTTTATACAAACAAGAAACCTGGCAGAACAACGACGAAACAGTAATCACGAATTTCTCAAAGCCCTAAAGCACTAGCCTTTAAAGCCAGCGCGAGCATACCAAAAATAACATCATCACAAGATCCCATTAGCAAAACAACAAAATATTACAAAATTTAATATAACGCTTACCTCCCTACCAAAAACAAGCACCTAAAATTCAGAAGCAGGATGCTTAAAAACATGTGAAGGCGGCAACAAATAATGGTGCGCTAAATTTGCCAAGTCTGTGGCATGTGCTGCGTCAAAACAGTAAAGCATAGCAAGAAGGCGATGTAAACATCTCTGAAAGAAGTAAACGACTGAGAAAATTAAATACTTAGCTACGTTTCAATGATACAGTCTCAAAAAATTTTAAAATAAAGCAAAGGCAACTCCAACACAGAAAGTAACAAGGGAAACCTCGATCTCTAATTCATAAAAAATATACCAAGTGAATTTGTCACAGATACAAGTCAAAAAAGAAAGAAACTGTCATGCTTACTGTTACCAATGCCTTGGCGAAATCAAATTCAACAATTTAGAAGCAAAACCTGTTCAAAAAATGTATTTTGCAGTTAATAAACAATTATGAAAATAGTAAAAATGAACAAGCTTAGAGGCGAGTTACCCCCACAAAAAAACTAAAAAAACTGAGCTGTCCAAGCACAACGTTAAATCGGATTTATAAAACGGAAAACGAAGAGGGCAGTGAAAAAGTGGGAAAATAACAATTGAAATAACCTTAAAGAGATTTACCACTGAAATTCCTTGTCCTTTTGGTCAGTAAAAACGACATATTCGATAAAATGGTGAAAAACAATTTCCATAAATTAGAAAATAAAAAAAAAGGAAAAAAAAAGAAGGAAAAACAATTCATTCCTCAAAAATGGCAGAAAAAAATAATCAATGAAAGACAACGTGAAAAATTATACTAGACTGGATTCACTGTCATAACAAAATCCTCTGCAGTAACCATCGGAAAGCATCCTAATTTTGCGCGAAATAGAAATTTGAGTAGTAAAATATACAACAAAAAGATAAAATCAAAAAAGTAGCAACAATGCAGCAGTTAAAAATGGCAAAAACATTCAAAAAATATAAATTCCATTATCTTTAAACTAAAAACTAGCATATGGGATGCATGAAAATGAGATTCTAACAAGCACTGCCACTGTAAACAACACCTTAAAATATTAACACCGGTGACAAAATTAGCGATTTCATTACAAAAAAAAAAAACTAAAATTAAACAAATGTTGAAGCTGACTCCCGATCCGCTTTACCAGTAGTAGAAGTACTGACCAAAGTTTTATTCGGCACGTATTGTCCTGAAACATATAAATTTTAAACAAAGCCGCCCTTTTACTTCTGCCGCAGACGGCCAAAATTACTACAGGTTGTACTCACCGATAAACGAGCCGTCCTCTGTAAAACGACCTGGATCTGCATCTCCGTACTCAGCCATAGAATCTGTCTCTGACTCTGCTTTACTGCCTCCTGTTAATGAACGCTTCTCATCATCTTCTCTGCAAGAGAGGTAAAGAAGTCAATTAACAAAGAAGCGATACAAGAAACAAATAGCCATTTTACGTCCTAATAAATAAACACTTCCGCTCTTGGAAACTTTTATTGTGGAACAAAAAAAGAATTAAGACTGGGAAGTTGAACAGCTTACGGCTTCATATACTCTCCAAACCCACGCTCCTTTTCACCAGGAAGTATAGGTATTCGCCCTTGCTGTCTTTCCTTCTCCGACACAGGATATTTAGCTCCTCTCCGCCTCGCAGCAATACATATAATGCATAAGATGCAGAAGACGAGTAAGATGACGAGTATTATTAACAAAAGCAACCAAATTTTAGCACTATATGGAGCTGAAAAGAGTGGCAATAAAGTAGCAGAATTGTTTTTATAAAACAGCCATCTGTTAAAATTCTCCAAATTATTGCTCAGGTGAAAACGATTAACACACCTGCACCAGCTGTACGCACCTTAGTGCTCGGCGACGTTGTTTCAACAATGTTGCCACTTTCATCACTATATTGTGAGACTGTACGAACTTCATACGTTGTTCCAGGTTCCAATTCTTCTATTCGACCTCTCAAGTCCTCACCTGCAAAATCTTTTAAGTAGCAACCATTCGGAAACGCTAATAAAACCTCAATAATGTCAAGTACAAACTTTACGTGAACTCTTCACCTGAAACTTCAGTACGCTGATAATCATTTGCTCCTTCTTTCGCATGCTCAACGTAAAACCGATCCCCCACTGGACGCTTCTCCTGGTCTTCAAATTTGCCCGGCGTTACTACAACGTCCACATAACTTTTCCCTGCTTCAGCACCAAACGATGCAACAACAGGATGCACTAAAAGAAAAAAATATACATATCCATACGACAAGAAAGAAATATAAACCAGGAATGCTATGTAGGAAAAGACTGTCTATCAGCTACAAATTATCCATACTAAACGAAAATAGAATGATGTGAAATAGAACAGAATGAAACAAACATTGCTCGCCAAAGTCTTTAGGCAACGTTTTCACGTCATATGAGTTAGGGTCACCTCTTCCAATTGCCGTTACACCAGATACAATGATTCGATACAACAACTCGTATTCCAAGTCTGTTAGCCTTGCTGAAAACTTGCTCGGCTCCCTTTCCCTAAACTTTAAGAATCAACTACGGTCCAAATGTCAACCAAAAGCCTAGTATCACGTCGCACCCGAACTAATTTACAAGTACTTCTAAGCGAGAGTAACCCAAAGCTAAATAAAAAAATTGACACATGCTCAGCTTTGGCTAAGAAATGAATACCGCTCAAAAAATGGCTATCGCCAGTTCAGAAAGCATCTTCGCCTGAACTCACAAAAGATATAAACTTTTGACCACAGATGCTTGAATTAGCGCAGATGTGTCGATGACGTAAGTATAACAAACTACATTAAATGCTATCCACATCTCACCAAAAATTAGAAATTATGAAAACTTAACATTTAGGAGGCTAAAAGCCTTTCATCAGCAATAAAAACCGCACATAAACAAGAGAAAACAACTTTTCGCGAAAAAACAAAGAGTACTGCCGCAAATAAATGCAAGCCTCTCAGACGTCAACAAAATAAGCCAAAAAACATGGAAAACCGGCACAAGTACTATAAAAAAGTAAAGCCTCAAAAAAAAAAATTCCAATTAAAAAGCTCTAAGCGCGTGACTTAGCTCCTGCGGCTGCAAAAACTAACGCTGCAGGTCAAACAGTAACCCCTGAATACATTTCAGAAAATACAATGAGGTTGTAAATTCTTTAAAAGACTATTAGTTGATTATATCATGAATTAAACCATACGTTGTTAAACACTTATCACGCCTTATCCCGTTGTCACCCTCAACCCGACAGGCTTCAACCAAATACTTCAGAATCTTCCCGTGTGCACGCCTTGGCTCACCCCACCGTACAATAACAACACCCCTTTCATCAGCTTTACGACTGTTCGTTGGAAATGCTTCAAGATCCCGGACTTGTGTAGGAACTGTAATTTAAGGAGGACAATACAGCATTTACAAACGGCAAAACCGCAGAAATATTTGCTTTTAGAAAAAGGCAAACCTCCTTCTTCTGTCCTAAAGGTTATAGCTTCCGACGGAACCCCATCCATCTGATTATTAAAAACAGAAATCTTAGCTTCGTATAATGTCCCCGGTCGAAAGCCCTCAACTGTATACTCAACTTTTTCTGGACCGACGATAACAGTCCGCGGAGCATCGTCGTAATCCTCCTCATATATGGCAGCACGTTTCCGACGCGACGCCTGTAACAGTACAAAACTTCTTATTTTTCTAGAATGAGCTCAAATATAAACAACTCAAAAAAAATAAATAAATAGAAAAAATAAAGGAGGCGCCATAGCGCAGCAGCAACTCAAAACGTATTTTGGAAGATAGATGTTTAAGTTGATGAAGGAAAACATCCTAATTTCAGAAAAAAGCAACCTTCAAATGGCGTGTGTTCCTCGTTTGCGATTGCGCTACTTCGTTCGCTTCAACCTCTCCATCAGTCTCTGCCTCGTCTTGAAGTGGCTTATAAGTAACCTATAAAAACCATAACTTCTTTACCTAATCTTTAAAATTCCAGAAAGTGCTCGAAAACTCACTTTGATGCCAGCTAGATTGCCATGAACTGAAGACGGAAGTACAGGATCCCAAGCAAAAGTGACGGACGTAGAACCAACTTTCTTCACTTTGAAACCAGTAGGAGTGTAATTTGGACCACCTTCCCCAGAATGAGCTTCCACAGTTTTAGGAGATATTTGAGAACTGCCTAACTCATTTACAGCTGCTACCTAGAATAAAATTTGTAAATAGCAGATACACCAATAAATCAGAAAACTATTAAGGAAAACTTATAACCTGCACTTCATAAGGTTCATCTGCCTTCCCCGGTACGTCCACAAAAGCATGATCAGCAAATGGATTTTGAACCTCTGTTTCGTTCCACTTTTCGCTATTCGGCTGAAGCCAAAAAACGTTCATTTATTATTAGAATAAAAAATTACAATATTTGGGATATAAGCATGCATATTCATCACATCTGAATAACAATAATGCAATAAAATGGCACCTTTCTAATCTTTTCTAACAGCAAATACGGAGCTGCAAAAAAAATCTACAGCAGACAAGGCTAACCTTTCGATGTTTAACCAAGTAGTGGAAATTCTTCCCGTTCCAATCTTCTCGCTGCATTGGTTTCCAAGAAACTAAAAGACGGTCTGGACGAACACCTTTTACAAGAACTTCATCAGGATTTTTATCAGGTCTCTTGGGAGCAGTCTCGCAGGTATCCTTTGCCATTATTGGCTTGCCATCACCAATATTATTACGACCAAAGACACGAAACTGATACTGAAATATCAGTGGCATGAAATGCTATCACAGACTATAAGAGAGCGTCAATGCTAACCAAACAGTCTACACTGTATGGAAAAACGTAAGCCACTAACCTTTCCAAATGGTTTCAAGCTAATCTTCATTTCACCCCTAATCTGCTTACTCTCATCTTCAATCTTATAGTGGTCTTCAACTAGCATTGGTGTTGGATACGTTTGCCATGCAGCAACATCATCACTTTCGCTATCAATGCGATACTGTGCCCTGAAAACATCAAATGCAACTTAATAAACTCGTTTAGAAATACGACACAGCTTGGCGGCCTTCACGAAAATTGTGTGGCAAGAGTTAGGTTGTAAAAGAGAATAACAGCAATGTTATACAGCGAAAGAATGAATAGAGACTTAGATGGCGTAAAATAATATAAATGATACAAATAAATTTAAATTTAAACCAAATTTCTGTTATCGGAGAATCCGTTTTCAGCTCCTCATAGTAAATGAAGGCGACTGTGGCCAAACTTCCATCTTCACACTTTGCAGAAACTTGGTGCATCGGTTTCGGGACATCTAAATGCGCCGCATTAAGGTTAATGTGCATCTTCAGAAAAACTCTATTCATTTCATAATTCTCGGCGCTATTCAACTGACAGGTTGAAGAAACTGTGTTGTAATTAAATATTGAAGAGCCAATAAAACAGTTTCCCCACTGAAACTGTCCAAATGTATAATAGCACACGAAGCGTAATATAAAAACGAAAACTTGATAATAATACAAACCATCAACGTCAACCCTAAGTGAACCACGAACAGCATCCAAGTCTGTCATCGCCACACAAGTGTAGCTAGCAGCATCATTACGCGACACGCCAATGATATGTAGTGTGTGATCGCCATCAATCCGATAATGTCCAGAAGCAAGATCTTGCTCAGGCAAAGTCTATGATGAACAAAAATTAATCTTCTTATCATTAAACAAGGAAAGCCGAAAAAACCCACACAATGTGAAATTATAATGCGTTCAAAATCTGGGAAGCAATATCCATACTGTAGCGTTGGGCTAATAATTAAAAAATTTCACACTTACCTCATTATTCACCAGCCACTCATATTTCACTTCAAGATGAGGATCATGGTTAGCTTTGCAAGGTAATTTTAGGTCCTTTCCAGCCATCACCTTTTCCATCTCTTTAGAAAATGGTGCGAGTCTAGTGGCTTCTAAAAATAAACGGGTAACAGCAGTGCGATCACCGGAAATGGATACAACCCACTCCTAACTAATTAGCGATTACACAAAGAGTACGAAAAATCTTGTCCGGAAGAGTTATGCCGGCTGTAAAGATTAAAAAACAAGTATTGAAGTAATAAGATAAAAGAAAGGTAAAACATGTTTTCAACCACTCCGCAGTACCTCGAACAACAAGAGTTACTCTTGACGAATTCCTCCCATACTTGTTCACTGCTATACAGTCATAATCTCCAGCCGCCGCGTCTCCGACATCTGAACAGTGATATTTGGATGAAAATACAAAAAAGAATTGTTTCTGTGTAATCCATGACTCAACCACTTAAAAATACGTCAGCTTGTTAAATTGCGATGGTAAAAATATAAGGCAACAAAAAAGATAAAAAGAAATCGAACTGTAAAAAACAAATGCTAACTAACTTCGAATCTCCAAGATCCCTACATTTGGGGACTCCTCTGATATTCTTTGTTCCGACTCAACCACCTCTAACCTAGGACTCTCCCAAGTGATATTTGGTTTTGGAGAGGCAGCAAACCTGCAGCTCAACCGAGCGTTCTTACCCTTCACCACGCTTACTGTTCCAGAATCAGACTCTAGTTCAGGTGCTTGTGCTGAAATGCCACTGACATATCAGTCACCTGACGACTCCTAACAAAATAAAAAAAGAGCCAAGACAGATTTGACGCAAAACTTCAATCAACTAATTCCCATAAACTCAATGCATACGAAAATTGGCTGTAAAAAATGACTCACAGTATATCCTTAGAGGGAAATTGGCCCAGAGGAGTCCATGCTCATTTGTTGCACGACATTGATAAACAGCATTATCTCCATGGTTACCAGTAACGGTGCTTTTCTTGACGCCAAATATTCTCAACTTATTACCTTCTATCACAATCCGATCGGTATTGTTCGGGATCACTAAATTCATTAAAACCGAACAGTCAGACAGCCTTTGAAATCTCCAATTTTTCTAATTTGTTCTTCTTTTGAGCAAACCTACGCTACGCGATCCAATAAGTTTTCCGCAAATTCCATTCAGGCTAATTTATATTTCTGCTACAGTTGAAAAAAAAAAAACAAGAGCTCGAAATAAAATACAAAAAATGAAAAAGTTCCCACTTACAAACTCCATTCTTCAGAAATTCAATTTTTGGTGGTGGTATTCCCTTTGCTCCACACACAAAAGTTACCGTTTCTTCCTCACTGGTATTCACTGAAAGAGGTGGGCCCGTCTCCCAATATGGTTTAGCTGAAAAACAAGGTAAAAAATAAAACGCCTTCTTTGTGAGATAGAAAGAATCAGAAGAGAACTAATCAATAAAACCAAGGTTGCAAAATTCAATGGGTATTCTGGAATCAAAATATCAAAGCTCATGTCTCTATGCTCTTTGAAAAATGCCCGTTACAATGAACCAGATGTACTGTTAAAAGCATTGGTGATCACAGTCATAAGACAGCATTAATGTATTTTTATGCAAAGACTACCACTACAGATAGCCAAGCTATGATAATAATCAACAAGAACTACCAGAGTGCGGCTTCTCACTTACCTTGCACAGTAACATCAAACGTCCTATCAATATCAAGATGCTGGTTAAACCTGCAGTCATATCTTCCTGCTGACTCCATAGTGACGTTAAACGTAATTGTTTTGCCATAATTCTCAAAGTCAAAATTTGGATCATCTTTACTAATCTGCGTTCCGTTATGTAACCAGTTAGGTTCCGGAAGAGGCCTTAAAAAACGAAATTACCAGAAGAGACGCATTGAATTCCATCCTCAAAAATAATGATGCTCATTGAAACAAAAAATGGAGTTGTCCTAAGATCAAACAATAAGACCCTTTCAAAATAATTTGTTTCCAAAAAAATAAAAAAAATAAGGTATGATGGGTTTCCAAGTTTTCAATTAAAAAAAGCAGAAAAGAAAAGAGAATAAAACAAAAAAGAACCGACTAGCAGGTGATACTAGCACCACCTACCCTACGTGTTGTTTGCAAGTAAAGAAACACACACTTAACAAACAATTTTCACTAGTACTTTATAACAAATTTGAACCTCAATGTACCATATTAATGTAGAACAAACCTGCCGCTAAATAAACAATATAACTTTTGAGAAGTTCCAAGGAAAGCCACAACAGAACTGGGAGACACGTACTGTTCAGTAGGCGAGATTTTCCCCACTTAAAATAACAATGTTATAACACTCCGTTTAAAATATTAAAAAACATCAATTTCAATTGGACATTAAGGAAACATTGGAAAAATAACAAGTGATTCTGCAGCAACGCCAAATGTTATGTACAACACTTGGCGCCAATCGGAATCAATTAAAACACATGCTGGTCCTTAGACAACAGCTGCACTACTTCCACGAAAATCACAGTCTATTATAAAAATAATTCAAAGTGTTAAAAATACCATAAATGTTTTCAAAATTACTACGCTTTTAGTAGGGTTACAGAGTACGCAAACAACTACACAGAACAAAAGAACCGTTTAACTTTTGTTGAAATGTGAATGCCCTTTAGCTCAAATTATTTAAATAAAAAATCAGTAAGCAATCGTCTTACTAGTCGCAACCAATGCAGAAATAATAACAAGTGTTAGACCCACAACTCCAACGCATACTCTGTCTACAAGATGCATAGCTGTGAGAATCTAACCTTTTCGTAATTACAGAAAAAAAATCGTTTCATCCCTGAGCAAACAGCTAGAAAATCAATCTGACATTTCAATTTCAAGACCTAAGCAGCGTTTGACTAGAGGCAACAATCAACCCTGTATCCAGCTCGCCAGACCCGTTATGAATTTGAAGTTTACTAAAGCCAACCTCATTTATTTCCCAACGTTCCCTCCCTGCCCCCCAAAAAAAAATCATCTTTTCTATCTAACTAAAAAAACAGTACTGTGAAATGATGTAAAATGGATTACTGCCTATCAACATTCTAATTAGTCCTAGAAAGAACAAATATAACGCACTAATTCACTAAATTTCGCTCATAAAATAAAACTTCCACCATTTAAAAAATCAGTCCAGGAGAG